CGGGCTCCATTCCTCGGCTCAGCCCCGGCGCTCCCCGGGGGCCCTTGGGCTTCGCCCATCAGGTGCCTGTCCCACGCCGTCCCTGTCCGAGATCCCAGAGCCACAGCTGGGTCAGGGAGCCCTGGGGTTTTTTTCTTTTTTCCACCTTTTTCTGCGGCTTTAAAGTCAAGTCCTTTGACCCCCCCCCCCAAATTGGAGCGGGCAGTGTGCACGAGCCCCGGGGAGACGGGAAATGCAGAGTCCCCTGCTCTCGGCGACACCGAAGGGACACGGCTGTGATCCCACAGGGTGAGCGAGCACGAGGGTCACGAGGTGCAAGCCAGCCTCAGCAGCTCGGCGAGACCCTGTCGCTAAATAAAATACTCAAAAAGGGCTGAGGATGGGGGCTCAGGGGTCAGGGCCCCCCCCCACCCCGGGCTCAGTCCCCACGACCCAAAAGGGGGGAAAAAGAAAAAAGAAAAAGTGGTGACTTCAAGGTGAATTACTTTTGCTCCCTTGGACTGATGACTTCACTTCTCTGTCCCTTGGCGCTTTACAAAGTAGGCGTGGCCACAGGAGTCACCCCCTACTTCTTTGGGCTTAGTCAGAATGTGATCTGATCCTGTGCCCCTCAAAAATGTTATTCCCTGGCTCTAGATCATTCTGCTCCAGGTTGTCAGGACCAACCCTTAGGTAGATGGCATTACAGAGGCAGAAGGTGGCACTGGGACCAGGAGTGACCCATCCTGCTAGGGCAGAGATAGCAGCTTTAAAATGTGGGAAACCATCTTCCCCCAAACCTGGGTGTGTGGGTGCTTTGTCCTGGGGCTGTCTGACTCCCAGTTGTGCAATGAAGAAAAACTGGAATCTCTTAGTCCTCTTTGAGTCACTAAGCCGCTGGCACCTGGTCCCCACCCCCACTTCATATCCGTGGTGCTTCCCAGAGAAGAGCAGACAGATTGGAGGACACCCTGACACAGAACAGTAGCCAGAGGAGAACTTTGACCCCTGCAGGTCACCCACCCGCCCGTCATGTGTGCCCACTACTCCTGACAGTGGCCACTTCAGTSATTGGACACCAGCCTTCTCATCCACTCATCCATTTATTTCCTTTCTCTTCCATATCAATTATTTTCTCTATTGAACTATTCAAGCTTTGTCCCTGACATCAAAGTCAGCAGTGACCTCCATGATGTCACATCTAAGGATCTATTCTCAGTCTTTCTCCTAAGCCCACAGGTGGCCCCTGACACAGTTCAGTGCTCTGTCCCCTTGGCTGCACTCCATTCATCTACCTTCTGGAAACCACTCTCTCCCAGTGTCCTGTGCTGGTTTCTTCTTGGCTCCTTCACTTTCTAGACGATCGCCCGTGGTTCCCACCAGCCTGATTGCAGTTGGGATTTTCTAAGGTGCAGCATAAGAACACCTCTTTGCATCTATAATTACCCTCTTGATGGCCTAGCTTAGTGTCCTGGCTTTAAATGCCACCTATGTCCTCATGACTCAAACTTGCTTCTCCGGCCTGTATTTCTTTCCTCGATTCTAGACTTTTTTTGTCTACCTTTCTGCTCAGAAGCTCCATTTCGGGGCTGTAATCGGTATCTATAATTAGCATATATATCTGCTGGGGTTTATTTATTTAGGTTTTGCCATCAGGAATGGAACTTATTCGGTGCTTACTCACAGAGCCCCATCCCCAGCCCTATTTTGCATTTTATGTAGAGACAGGGTCTCACTGAGTTGCTTAGGGCCTCACTAAGTTGCTGAGGCTGGCCTCCACCTTGCGATCCTCCTGCCTCAGCCTCCTGAGCTGCTGGGATGACAGGCATGCGCCACCACATTGGGCTGTATCTGGGAGTTTATTCCTGGTCCCCATCCAGTCCTGCACCTCCCTCTAGCCTAATTTTTCCACAGCTAATAGAAAGGCTTTGCCAGTCTCCTAGCATCACCTTTGATTCCTCTTATTCTCAGAGTTCACGAGTTTTCTGTACCTTTGGGTCCTCTTTAAACCCGACCAGTGTTAGGTACCTTCCCTTCATCGACCCTGAATCAGGTTGCCACCATCTGCGTAGCATTCTGGGTCTTGAGCAGGTCTGTGGCACCACTTAAAACCTCAGAATAGGGACAGGCCTTCCAGACCCTCAATCCAGGGATTAGCACACTGCCCTCAGTGTCCCGCTGTCCCTGGGGGGACCACTTGGATAAATGGAAGGTCACTTGCCATGAGCAGTCTTGGCTTCCTGAGTCTTAACACGTTTGGCTTCTGGTCTTAGGTGGCTGACGGGCAGGGCTTGCTGCTCTCTAAACTTGCAAACTCCCTTTGGGATGCGCCCCATTCCCTTCTGGTCTGATGATGTCAGTGTTTGCTCTTTCCCACCCTGGGACCTCCCTCCTGCCGCAGTGATGCAGGGTCCAGGGAGGTGGAAGACTCGTCTGAAGTACTTCCTGGGTCACCTGGTGACCCAGGAGGTGACCTGGGTCCCAAGAGGAAAGGCAGAGCTCCTGGCCCTGACTTATGGTTCCTCTTCTTCTCATCATTCACGTGTTTTCTGTCCCTTCTGGTGATCCATCCGTGCTAGGCCGCTGTGTGTCCAAAGCCACATCCTCATGTCATGGGAACAGCCGAAGCGGGGACAGGAACCCAGAAGGACCCTGGTGCAGGCCACTGCCAGATGAATTCAAAAGCCAGCAGGGCGTCCTGGCCTCGTTGGCCGTTCACGGTGACGAATCAGAGCCTGGAAACTAAGTCACTCTGTGGGCCACTGCTGTGGACAGGAGCAGAGCCAGTAGCAGACACTGAGATTTAGTTCCTGCGTCTTGCAGCACACATGACCTGTTTTGAATGTCCCAGGTGCTTTTGAAATGATCAGGATCATGTGGGATTAAAGTGAAATTGGCTCAGAGAGAGGCCTTGGGGTGGCCCAGTCCCCACATCTAAGGAGCAGCCACGCCCAGGCTGAGTTCAGGTTGATGTGTTGCACAACCAGGCCTCGCCCCCTGACTGCACCCTGCACACCCTCGGCACAGGGAGCCTTGATCAGTCGAAAGAGGAATAGTGGGATCCTCCTCTCTGGCACAGTAAGCTCAGGGAGTCACTGGCAATGGCAGGAGGGACAGCAGCTCTGGGGAGTCAGGCCTGGCAACCTCGGTGTGTTCTCCTGTAGCAGTCTTTTGTTGAGGGGAGGGATGCCAGAGATTGAACTCAGGGCCCTCGACCACTGAGCCCCGTCCCCAGCCCTATTTTGCGTTTTATTTAGAGACAGGGTCTCACTGAGTTGCTTAGCACCTTGCTTTTGCTGAGGCTGGCCTCCAACTTGTGATCCTCCTGCCTCAGCCTCCCAAGCTGCTGGAATTCCTGGTGGCACACACCTGGAATCCCTGCAGCTCGGGAGGCTGAGGCAGGAGGATCAGGACTTCAAGGCCAGCCTCAGCAATTTAGTGAGGCCCTGAGCAACTCAGTGAGACCCTGTCTCTAAATAAAACACAAAATAGGGCTGGGGATGGGGCTCAGGGGCTAAGTGCCCCTAGGTTCAATTGCCAATACCAAATAATAATAATAATAACAATAATGCTTAGTAAATGTTTGTCATTTTTAGAAAGGAGTCTTCCCATTTCCAGAAGTTAGCCAAGATGAACTTAACGAAATCAATCAGTTTGTGGGACCCGTGGAAAAATTCTTCAATGAAGAAGGTAGGTGTGGTTTCCTCATCATTTCTCATTTTCCTTGTAAGAGTGATTGCATCAATATTTTTTCAAATATATATTTTAGTTGTTGATGGGTTTTATTTTATTTATGTGTGGTGCTGAGAATCTAACCCAGTGCCCCACGCATGCTAGGCAAGTGCTCTACCACTGAGCCACGGCCCCATCCCGCATCGATATTTATATTAGGAGCAGTATCAGTATAAAGGAGGCCCACTTGAGTGTCATTAATTCATAATACTTTGCTTTAGGGACCATACAAATTGCTGCTTTATTAAAAGCTACTGAGATTCAGGCTGAGTGCTGCACACCTATAATCCCATGGCTCGAGAGGCTGAGGCAGGAGGATCCCAAGTTGGAGGCCAGCCTCAGCAACTTAGCAAGGCCTTAATCAACTCAGTGAGATCCTGTCTCAAAATGAAATATATAAAAAAGGGCTGGGGATGTGGCTCAGTGGTTAAGTGCCCCTGGATTCAATCCCTGGTACCAAAAAAACAATAAAAATATAAAAAAAGTTTTTAATGTGGATAAAGTGCAAGTTTTTTTCTTTGCGAGTTTGTGCTTTTTGGATTGTCTATGGGAAAACTGCCAGGTCCATAACAATTTTCATCTGTCTTTTCTTTTCAAGTTCTGGAGTTAGATAACTCTTACGATTAGATCTGTGATGTGACCCAGGTTAATGTGGTCGGTGGCGTGGGGTAGAAGTTTGAGGGTGACATTCTGGGGGTTTGGAAACAATGGGACAATATCCAACTGTTCAGCTGTGTTTGCTATAAAGATTATTCTTTTCCCATTGAATTAACCAGACCCCTCCATCAAAACTAGATGGACCATTTAGGTGTGGGTCTGTTTTGAATCCTACATTGTCTCCTGTTCCCACAAACATCCCCTTGACCTATTTACTGTGCCTTCTAATAAGCTCAGAACTGGGCAGTGCTGGCCCTTCAGCTTGGCTGTCTTCTGAAGTCATGTGGACTCCAGGCCCTTTGGACTCCCAGAGAGTTTTAGAATCAGCTTTCTGTCCTCAGCAGGCCTGCGGCATTGACTGGGGTTTCAGAAAGTTCATGAATCAGCGTGATGGGGAACAGAGTACAGCATCTTGGCCTATCTCCCCACTTATTGAGGTCATTTTATTTTCTCTTAGTGTTTTATGCGTGGGGTTTTTAGTGTGTAGGCCTTGAATAATTTGTGCCAAAAATTCTGGATGAGGGGCTGGGCCTGGGGCTCAGTGGTAGAGCACTTGCGTAGCATGCATGAGGCACTGGGTTTGATTCTCAGCACCACATAACAAATAAAGTTCATTGATAACTAAAAAATTTTAAAAAGGGGGTGGTTCTTGATGGGCCAGGTATTGTGGCACACGCCTGTCATTATAGTGGCTCGGGAGGCTGAGGCAGGAGGATCGGTTCAAAGCCAGCCTCAGCAATAGCGAGGCCCTAAGCAGCTCAGTGAGACCCTGTCTCTTAGTTAAATGCAAAATAGGCTGGGGACGGGGCTCAGGGGTCGAGTGTCCCTGAGKTCGATCCCCAGTAACCCTCYGACACACATACAGAAAAACATTACTGTAACACACAGGAAGGACACGCTTTCTAATCCCGTGCTAGAGACTGTTCCCTTTTGCCCTCGTGGGTGTGCGTGTTGATSGATGAATCGATGCTGATCAGACTGGAGGCTGAGGCAGGAGGATTGCTAATTGGAGGCCAACCTCAKCCTACCCTAAGCAATTCAGCRAGACCCTGTGTCTAAATAAAATATAAAAARGGCTGGGGCTGGGGCTCAGCCTGCAGACTGGGGTGACACCGTGGAGGCTTTTGAACAGTGGGGTGAAGGGAGCCCCGGTCACTGCCTGGATGGGGGGGATTGGCCTAGTGTTGCAGCCATACACCAGGAGTTGTGTCCCTCCCCATCTCCTGGACAGTCGAGTCAAGCATGTGCAGGCATCTGCATCTCACACGGCTAAGGCACCAGGCGACCAGTGACCAGGTCAGCAGACAGCCACCTAGCCCTGCTGGCTTTAAACCACAATCCTACAAACTACATCAAATCAAGTCAGTGTCGATGTGACCATCACCAGACAGTTTTGAGAATTTTCGAGAATCCTCTAGAAGTTTTGAGCAGTTCTGAGAAACTGCTGGCACTGGGGTTGGATGCTCTGCCAAAAACATTCTGGGTCCCTTTCTCTGCATGAAGATGACTTGCTCCTGTTTTATTTCATCAAGATGTTTTCTTTTCTCAGTGGATTCTCAGAAAATTGACCGGGAGGGGAAAATCCCGGACGACACCCTGGAAAAGTTGAAAAGCCTGGGCCTCTTTGGAATGCAGGTCCCGGAAGAATATGGTAAGTGGAGGAGCTGCCCCGGCTGGTGTGGCTCGTCAGCGTCACTCTGCATTTCCCTGAGAGGCTGCCGTTCTGAAGGTACACCACCTAGACCAAATGGTGGCCCTGGTCCTTCGCCCTGCCTGTCCCCTGGCCTTCGGCCTCCACCAGCCATTATGGAGGCTCTGCAGGTGTGGGCAGGACAGGGCTCGGTGGTGCTTTAAGGGTCGGGCACATTTCCAGGCTGCAGCGGGTCCTTTAGAGACGCACTGTTGAGTGTGTTTCACAAGTTAGACTTTCCAGAACCATCCACCAAAGACTCTCTTTCTGTTCTCTCCCCTGCCTGGCCTCTAGGGAGACCTTACTACCTGCAGCACAGGACAGGGGCTGTCAGATCTGTACCGTAATTTCCTGCTGGTCCCCAACCTAGAGCTGGTGCATGCCAAGACCAAGGAGAAAGTTGAGGCCAGATTAGCATTCAGCGGTGTGACTTGATTTTATTTATTTATTTTTATCTCGTGCTAAGGATCGAATCCAGTGCCTCACACCTGCTGGGCAAGTGCCCTCCCACTGAGCCCCAGCCCCAGCCTTTTTTATATTTTATTTAGGGCCTCACCGAGTTGTTGAGGCTGGCCTCCAATTAGCAATCCTCCTGCCTCAGCCTCCAGAGCCGCTGGGATTACAGGTGCGCACACCCCACCCAACTCATCTTGAGCTGCTTCTCTGCCTCCCTGGAGGCCATGGGAGAGTTTGGAGAAGCCCCACTACTAGAAACGGGGCCCTTCTGCTGACTGAGCCTGGATCTCTTCCCTCAGTCTAGGCCAGCCCTGTGTGGCTCCTTCCTGCTTCTGAGTCCCTGTGCCACCAGCAGCTACCCCACCCCCAGCCCTCTGCTGTACACAGGGATTGCGGACTCCACCCTATGATTTTACCCATACTCTAGTCAGAAAGCTTCAGATTTTCCCCACCAAATAAAACTGAAAGGAGTTAAAACAAAGTCTTTTTTTTTTTTTTTTTGGTACCAGGGATTGAACTCAGGGGCACTGGACCCCTGAGCCCTGTCCCCAGCCCTATTTTGCATTTTATTTAGAGACAGGGTCTCCCTGAGTTGCTCAGCGCCTCGCTTTGGCTGAGGCTGGCTTTGAACTTGTGATCCTCCTGCCTCAGCCTCCCAAGTCCCTAGGATGACAGGCCTGCACCACTGCACCCGGCAAGACAAAGTCTTTTGATTGAGGCCCTGCACATTTGTAATCCCAGCAACTAGGGAGGCTGAGGCAGGAGGATCGCAAGTTGGAGGCCAGCCTCAGCAACTTAGTGAGGTCCTGAGCAACTCAGCGAGACCCTGTCTCTAAATAAAATATTTTTAAAAGGCTGGGGATGAGGCTCAGGGGTTAAAAGCCCCCGAGTTCAATTCCTGGTACAAAAAAAATATATATATATATATGTGTGTGTGTGTGTGTGTGTGTGTGTGTGTGTGTGTCAGCTGAGTGTCATGGCACATGCCTAATCCCACCTCCTTGTGAGGCTGAGACAGGAGGATCCAAAGTTGGAGGGGGACTGGGGTTGAGGCTCAGTGGCAGAGCGCTTGCCTAGCATGTGTGAGGCACTGGGTTCGATTCTGAGCACTGGGTATCAATAAGTAAAAAATAAAGGTCCATTGACAACTAAAAGAATATTAAAAAAAAAAAAAAGTTGGAGGCCACCCTCAGTAACTTAGCCAGTCTCAAAAAAAGTCTTTTTTTTTTTTTTTTAAAGTGGGGTGTAGCTCATAGGGAAGACACTTGCCCAATGTGTATGAAGCCCTAGGTTTTATTATGATTTTTTTTGTGGGGAACTGGGGATTCAACCTGGCACACTTGACCCCTGAACCCCATCCCCAGCCCTTTCTCACATTTTATTTACAGACAGGGTCTCACTGAGTTGCTGAGGGCCTTGCTAAGTGGCTGAGGCTGGCCTCCACCTTGCGATCCTCCTGCCTCAGCCTCCTGAGCCACTGGAATTGCAGACATGTGCCCCCACCCCCCGGTGTGGTTTTGCTTTTTTAATGATGATCCAGTTTGACTTACATAATTCAAAAGAAATAAAAGGCAGTAAAACCTTGTGCCTTAGTGGGAGGCGGTGGGCTGAGCTGTGACTGACACTGGTCCCTCCTCCTAGGTGGCCTTGGCCTCTCCAACACCATGTACGCTCGTCTAGGGGAGATCACCAGCCTGGACGGCTCCATCACAGTGACCTTGGCAGCTCACCAAGCCATCGGCCTCAAGGTCAGATGCTGGGGTTTCCCCCTGGGGCTCTCTGGAGGGGACAGGGGGCAGGATCAGGTCTCAGTGGAGACATCAGGGAAGAGACGCAGGCCCAGCTCCCCTCCCCAGAGAGCAGGGGACGCTGGGGACACTGGCTGCGCATGGTCCCAGCCCTCCCACGTCTTCACCTCCCATTATCCAGAGCACCTGCTGGGAGGGGCAGCCCCCACTTGGAGATCACAAGGTGGGGACTCAGAGGAGGACAGTCCAGGCCCTGGGCGCCCTGCCGTGCAGGGGAAGGATCGGGATGAAGGTTCCAGAGTCTAAGCCCAAACCAATGCCCTGGGGCAGGTGCAAGAGGGGCCACTCGGCAGCCAGCCCCCACCTGCAGCGGTCAGCTCTGGGCGCCTGCTGTCCTCTGTGGCAGGACATCAGTATTATCCTCACAAGGGACATCAGGACAAGGCTGTGGATGGCGATTGTCAGGAACACAAGTGATAGAATGTTAGCAAAGATGTGGGGGAACGGTTCACCCCACAGTGCTGGGAGTGACAGTGGTGTCACCACTATGGAAAGCAGTCTGGAGACTTAGGGACCAGCCTGGGTGCCCCTCAACAGATAAATGGATAAAGAAATGGGAATCCATATACACAGTGGAATATTACGCAGCCTTAAAGAATGAAATGATGGCATTTGCCGGTCAATGGATGGAGCTGGAGACCATCACGCTGAGTGAAACGAGCCAGTCCCAAAAACCAAAGGCTGAGCGTCCTCTCTGATATGGGGACGCTGACCCACAATAAGGGGGGGACAGCAGTTCACTAGAAGAGATGCAGGGGAGTGGAGGGAAGGGAGGGGAGGGGACTGGGAGAGACAGGGGAATGGATGGACGTCCCTTTCCTGTGTTCACAGAGGAACCCACGACCAGGGACAGCCCACAGCAGGTCCAGCCACGGGAGTGGGACGTCACACCCTGTGTAGGTGGGACATGTCCCAGAATGCACACTGCCGTCTTGTAGCCAAAAGGAACAAATAAAAAATGTTTCTTTCAGGGGATCATCTTGGTTGGCACCGAAGAACAGAAGGCCAAGTACCTGCCCAGACTGGCGTCCGGCGAGCACATCGCCGCCTTCTGCCTCACCGAGCCAGCCAGGTCCGCCCTCCCCTGAGCCGACTCCCACAGCCACGGGCCATGTCTCCATCTTCAGATTAGGAGTTGGAGGCTCCGTGGGGGATGTCACACAGCTAGATAGGGACAGGGCTGGGGACAGGGCTCAAGTTGAGGTCTTGTGACCAGGCCATGCCTAATGCTGCCTCCGTTCACTGGGGAACCTGGAACGGTCATCCAGAGACAGGATCTTGCCGAGTTGCTTAGGGCCTCGCTGAGTGGCTGAGGCTGGCCTCCACCTTGCGATCCTCCTGCCTCAGCCTCCCGAGCTGCTGGGATGACAGGTGTGCACCACCACACGCAGTTTTAAAGCTGACCCTGTGTGTGGTCTGACCCTGTGTTTAGAGGCTGGGCCGCTTCCTGGGGACTTGACTCCTAAGACCCTCCATTTCCAGGCTCTCGGCCGACTCGGGTGTATTCCCAAGATTCTTCTCCCCACGTCTCACCCACGTCTCTCTGTCTCTGCAGCGGGAGTGACGCCGCCTCCATCCAGACCAGGGCCACGTTAAGTGAAGACAAGAAGCACTACGTCCTCAATGGCTCCAAGGTACAGCCTCACCACCCCGCCCTGTCAGGTCTCGGTGGCCGCCTTCACTGTCACCGCTGGGCCTCTTCCTGTGCCCAGGTCTGTGACCCTCTGGTGACTACCCAGCAGGTGCAGTGCTCAGTCCTCAAGTGGCCTGCACGGGTCCTCTSTCCCTCTGGTGACAGAGCCAGGCCTGGCCACAGTGTCCCTGATGCTGGACTCAGCTGCGCCCGGAGTCAGAAGTCTGAGTCAGAAGTCTTAGTTGCACAGAATTTCATGCATCCGTAGGTCTGGGACGGTGCCCGTCCTTGACTGAGCACAGGCCATCAGGTCCCCTTTCACAGCTGGCTGGGTCTCTTCCATCAAGATGGCCTCTAGACTGCATCTGTCACAGTTCAAACACAGACCCCTAAGAGACAGAGAGCTGGGATACTGTTATTGCTTTCTTACTATGTAGTCGCCATTTGGATTTCCCAAATTAGCTCATGCCTCTTGAATCAAGATTGAAGCAAAGCGCACGTCTGTCATCCCAGCAGCTCTGGAGGCTGAGGCAGGAGGATCGCAAGGTGGAGGCCAGCCTCAGCAACTCCGCGAGAACCTGTCTCTAAATAAAATATAAAAAAGGCTGGGGACAGGGCTCAGGGGTCAAGCACCCCTGGGTTCAATCCCTGGTGCCAAAAAAAAGATGAAAATAAGTTCCTCAGTTGGGGCCTCACAGGTGGTGAGTCGAGAGGAGTCTCTGAGGACCCCTTGCTCTCTGTCCTCAGGTCTGGATCACCAACGGGGGACTGGCCACCATCTTCACTGTGTTTGCCAAGACTGAGGTGGTCGATTCCGATGGCTCAGTAAAAGACAAGATGAC